ACTCTCTCTCTCTCTCTCTCACTGTCTTTCTCTCTCTCTCTCACTCTCTTTCTCTCTCTCTCTCTTTCTCTCTCTCTCTCTTTCTCTCTCTCTCTTTCTCTCCCTCTCTGTTTCTCTCTCCTCTCTCCCTTCCCATTTTCTCTCTCCCCCCTCCTCTTCCTTCCCGTCACAACTTCTCCTTCCCCAGTCAGTGATTATTTAGAAATATATATTTGGTTATCTTTCTTTTTTTTCCCAGATCCAGTATATCTTCTATCGGGAGCGAGTCGGCATCCGCCCCGAGCGCATCACGCCGTCCTTTGTGAGAAAACCCAAGCCCAACATGATCCTGGACCACGCGCCACAAGTGTCGGAGCTGCTCAAGTTTGGCGGTCTGGACGTGGAGGAAATCACCTCGTTTGTCTGGGCCGTGGAGGACGCCCTCATGAAGCTGGAGTGTCACCGAGACAAGACTTTGACCTACGCCAAAGACGAGGTCCAGGCGGAAGTCTGGGATGAGTACTCGGCTGTCATTGACAAGGACGGCCACGTAGCCTCTCAGAAGGCGCGGGTTCGGATCTTCTTCCTCGCTTTCTTGACGGGCATGCCGGCGTGCGAGCTAGGCATCAGCGATCGTCGTCGCAAAGGAAAGGAGGTTGTGGGGAGGCACGACATTATCCCCGTGCGGACTGAAGACTGGATCAAGATCGAGGATCCGGAGTTCCACCACGTAGTCGATTTGGAGACGTACAACAAGACCCACAACATCCGCTTCCACCCTCTTGACGCCTGTCAGTTCGAGCTGGTTCGCTTCCGGGTTCGTCCGCGCGAGAACCGAGAGCTGCCCCTTCAGCTGCGCATCACCCAGGTGATGAAGAACCGGCAGTTCGAGATCCGCGTGGACCTGCTGGTCACCGGCTACCACGCCTTCAGCAAAAAGTGTGGCCAGTTCCCGTGCGAGGACATCGAGGTTCGAATCCGCGTGCCCGAGGTGTGGATCTACTACTTCCGCTACGAGAAGCGGTTCGGGTACGGCTCTCTCAAGGCAATGGCTCGGAAGCCGGGCCGGATCAAAGGTCTGGAGAGGATCACAATGATGGCGCAGGGTCTGCTCACCCCCGCCCTCATGGAGGCTTCTGTCGGCTCGGCCAAGTACGAACATCTGTACCGCTCGGTGGTGTGGAGGATACCCAGACTTCCCGAGAGAAATCACGGTGAGTTGTGGCTACCTCAAGTTCAGAGGTCTTTATCTGGCGCATTCTGTGTTGTGGGGACTGTGTAGGCTGGATTTGATTCATGGGGTAAATTAAGAGCAGGAAACTGTTGGGGGGTTTTAATAATAATAATAATAAATAGCATTTGTATAGCGCATATCCCCGCTCAACAGCAGGCTCTATGCGCTTTACACTAGATTATTACCCCAGCAGACCATA